GCAGCAGCAGTCTGCGTCACATTTACAGAGGCTAACATGTGCAGCGGTTACCTTGGAGGCTGCCGTAGCGGCTAACCAAGGGTGCCTGAAGGTGAAACTGATCCATTTGGGCTCTAATTTGGTCACCACCGTGTTCATGTTTCCTCTGACAGCTGAAGGAAGATCAGCTTCTGACACCAGCTAACCAGCAACAGTTTAAGAATCACGCGACAAACGTTGGAGACAGGTACCGCAAGCAAGGAGAGTCAAACGGAGACAGAAAAGCAAAACACAAACTTGGAGACGCACGACAGCTAACTGAAGCTGCTAGCGTCCTCAACAGTCACGTGTTAGTAGCTCAACCAATCACCGGGCACATGTCGGAGAAAGGCAGACTGAATGGAACTGATTTGGACTTGGACATATGGAGGACCAAAATTGAAGTATAATGTATAGATTTATACATTATTTTACCAATACTTACAATACTTACCATAATTTATATACTTACAGCATATCTCATATTTATAAGTAACAAGCTTTGAAAATATGAGATATGCTGTAAGTATGTAACAAAATTTTACAAACAGCAGAGAATAGGATGTATTTTTTACTCTCTTGAATGAAATCCTGTGATTCAATGAAACACACAGAAAAAGATGAAATACGACAATGATGCATACAAACAACTAAATTTCTTTAGGGACAGAAGAAAGAGGCTGTTAATATCAATTTAATCTATATACAAAATAAAGACAAAAAAAAATACATGCTACTATTAATAAATTGCTGTCCCATTTTTTTCACTATTTGTTTCTTTTAATTTTTTAAGTACATGTCAAAAGCAAACTAGACAATGTAAAATTAAACTAATAATAATACCAATAATTATAAAATAATACCAAATTTTATTTGAAAATGTCAGATAAATAGTTTGCAAAATATAGTTCAGCAGATCATGTAGAGAAACTTTACACGAAATACACAATTGTGTCAAAACCTGGAGCGGAAGAGCAGCTAATCTGTTTCTAAACTAAACTTTTTAAAACTATTCCTACAGAGATGCAGCTTCAGATTCCAGAAGATAGTTTATTGAAATACAGTTTCAAGCCTCTCCACAGGTCAACCCTTAACAAACGACTTAAACAAAAGTGCCATACACAGAAAGGCCTTCAGGGGGCGCAGGTGCTCTCTGTCTCCAACTATACTCAGAGCTTTATGCAGAAACTCTTGGGACAATATCAGCACACACACACACCTTAGACAAATACTGATCATTTGCTCTCGAAACAACCTGTGTTGTGAGGCAAATGTGAAATTTCTAAAGTATATGAAGCGTCTATGTGACCAAAAATAATGTTTTAGTACGATATGTGTGATATTCCCATGTTTAATGTTTACTATGAGATAACTTTCCTTTGGCTGAACTGGTCTAACACACTGATTAACTGAAGATTATGGAGTAAATCATAATAATGATACTCTTCACAAATAATATTTCAAATAAAATGGGTCAAAGGGCAAAATATTAACAATTATACTTTTCACACAAAACACTTCAGAGTGCAGGTCAAAGTGGATATGCTAAAAAAAATATTCAACAAAGCTTTAGATAGAATAAACAAGGCTGACTGATTATTATTTT